TCAAAGCGGAGGTATAACCTTCAGGGTCAAAATGATTGGACAGCACACATTCTAGATGTTTTCATGCTATCGCATTAATAAACTTTAAACCTTGTGAACCATGTCGAAATGTAAAAGTAAACTAGTGCCTAATGCGAATTTATAATAGGTGAAGCCGAACCTCAGTGCAGTGCAAAATTGATTTCGCATCCTAGAAATTTGGAACTAGAAGATCAGAAAGGGTGTTTATTTGCAAAAGCAATGAATCTTGATTTCAACTTTTTCAGTTATATATTATGAGTCTATAAGGCATTGTCCATGAGCACAGAGGCTTATGATATTCAATAATAGCCTAACAATGACATGCTTTTCAATGAGTTGTCCCTTATTCAGCGAAATTTGAAACCAGCTTTTACTTCTAAATTTTTTCGATTCACCTAGACATCATAGACTGACCTTTTGTTCTGGTCAACACTCATTGGTCAGCCTTCAAGCTTAAGATGATTTCTTTTGCTTCGCTGAGCTCGGAGCCTCTCGTTTTCGAACCCATTAGCAGCGTTAGTAGTGTTTACTACGACCCTGCCAATGGTCAGGTAATGTGAACTACATTTCTTGCCAGTGAAATGATAGCAGCTAAGTTGCTTGCCTTGCGTTATAACGTGTTTGCTGAAAATGATTTCATTCACTCTTGATTGTCTCCGGCTAAGTTGCGATTTCCCCCTAAACATTCGTCCTTTTAGCCTTACTTACAATTGACTCTCATCCCAGGTGTTTACGCTCAGAGCTAGAGGTGCCATGGGGGTAAATGTAAAGACTCTGGAATCCGGACATGCTTCTAATTTTCGGTTCGTTATATTATTCATCGAAGTTATTTATATCTATTCTGTATTTTTAGGATCTGTGACAAAGGGGAAGTTCTCTCAATTAAATTTGATCCCAGCTGCACTGTTCTTAGTCTACAACGAAAACGAAATTGCGTTGATTTTATAAACTTTGAGAATAGTCGTCCAGAAGACAATGAATACTCGCAAACTTGTAGGGTTTGTAAAATGTGTGCAGAATTTTAAGTGCTTCCTTCCAGAAGGCGTCTTCAACTGTAATCGGTTTTACTTGGTCCAGTAAAAATGAAATAATTTTTGTTACAAACGAAGGCTTCGAGCTTTATCAGGTAACTGGTCTCATTTAGCTATGGCTTCTTTCATCAAATATCCTCACTGTGTTTGCTTTAGATTTTACCCGATAGTCACTTTGTTCGCGCTCTCAAGCATGGAATTGTTCAAACAAATTGGTATGCATGGGATCCCCTCAACAAAATCCTTCTTCTCTCAACTGGGGATTTGGGAAATCGTTTTCATGTGACATCTTTTGCAAATGTGAGGTTTTTGTATTTGTTGATGTTGACTACCACGCAATATTCCAATTCAGAATCGATTGTGCATTAAGCGCTGTTTATTTTCCCACCCACCTTTTTACATCCATATTTGTTGGGTATCTCATCTTTGATTACTTTCTAGTTGCTTATATTCATGGTGATGTAAACGCACTTGGATCGCACAACTAGCCCAGAATTTATAAATCTGATTAGGCATTATTCGAGTTGATTAAGTATGGGAGAATTGTCCACTAGAACCTTTGCATACTATGTGCAATGCCTGTGCTGGAGATCGGACCTGTTGTTTGATTGACTAGGCTATCCATAGCTAACTATTGTTGGCGACCTTCTCCGATGACTGATTGAATGAAATTTAGGTTTTTCAACACCTATTTTAGGGCTCCGTAACAAAATGTTCCAGTTTTGAGGTACCCGAAGCGGAGATTCTTTCTCCGTCTTCGGCTTCACCGTCAACGGTTTCTGATGACTTGAAGAAACTTCAACAAAAGAATTGTCTTTTGGCTAATCTGTGCGTCTTGTTGTTGTAAACTGCAACTTTTGATTGCCCACTTCCATTACTCCTTTGCTTAAAGGGCAGTGACGGTTCTTTTGCAAACTACTTCTAGGACTGGTTGATTGGCTCTTATAGAGTTCATTGGAAATAGGGGAACCATGCTGGCGTCCATCTTAAAATTATAGTTGTTTGTTGCAGCAAATAGATTGGTTGATTCCTCGCCTTTTGCTTTTCATCTGATTTACAGTAACAGTAACTGCAATTTTTAATTAGCCCGATACTCGCATGCCTTCATTTTTGTTTTGCTCTTAATGACGATGTTGTACTAGAATGTGTCGGCTGATAATATGTCTGTTTTTAGCTATGGCCAGCTCTACGCTTGTATCCTCTCTCGTAGTTTGGAGGGTGGGGTTCAACTCGTGCTTTACCAATTGATGCGGTAAGTCCATTCATTTGATGCAGTTGTGTCTAGCCGCCCGGTCAGCTATTTTTGAATTATGCCATCAAGCATTAAAAATCTCCAAAATGAGCGGCATCCATGGAGGTCACTCACTTGTATTCTAAAAAAGGCTGAGAGAGTGCGAAATAAGAATTCACTTTATTAAATTCTAGACCAAGTAATGAACTAAATGACTTTTCACAGGATTATTCAATTCGCCCAATTTATTTGTACCTTATTTTCGAATGCGATTCTTGCTTGTCTATAGGCGGGGTTCGGTAAGACGTCGGCACATCTTAGTAGTTCCTGAGGTGGGTCGGATCGCGGTGAGTTTTGTGCGCAATTTGGTTCTTGTCCATCACCAGCATTCGCGCACATCTCTCGCCTATGACATCGCTTCTGCTGATGATGAGGAGTTCGATGATTGCATCGGTCCTCGATATCATTATCCCCTTCTCCCACCCGTCTCACTGGCAGAGGTGAGCATTCCCTGCAAAAGTAAGTTGAAGTATCAACAAATTTGCCTAACGATTTTCTTTGAGGAGTTCAGCACTTTTTTATTCGCTTAAATTACCTTCATTCATATGCTTTGATGCACTTTGAAGAATCCATTAACTACACGATTAGGCTGCCTAGCATTTCGGCATGACTCAAAAGCAGTGTTTTCCTTATGTCTTTACCCATCATATAATCGGTCGTCCCGTTTTTTAAGCGATTAAGCTGCTTGAAAACAAATTTCTTCATTTCGATTATCAGCAGTTGTTCATTAGTCCAATGCAAGCCAAAGCGATTTTTCTTCATCAAGTATTTGGGTTCCTTTTCATCTCACCTGGTTATGTGCCAATTTGGGTGCTCCTAAGACTTGTGTAGCTTTGACACGTGGAGGTGTACCCTGTTTTTATTAAATTTTGGTGCAGATGCTGCCACTTTGCCCTAGAGCGAACGTATTTAATAGACACTCAACTGCTAACGATAGTTGTTGACGAATTTTATCTTATTTGAGTTTTCTTGCTCAATTTTCTCCACACGGCATGTGACATAATTTCTTCGCTTCTGCTTTGGAGTATCATTTTTGCCTTTCTCCTGTAGATGTTCCAGCTCTCTCTCTTGAACCAGGAACCGAGTTCAACACACCTCTGTGTATCCTTTATATTGTTCCATTGAAGGTGGATCTAATTGATGGAAGTTTCTTATCTCCCTTAACTGTGTCTTCTTAAAGACTCCTCCTCTTGGATAATCATCCCACCTAACGTCGTCATTGACGGTAGCTTGGGTAATGTTCTGTTAGGAAGTCCGGACCTAGCATTTCTACACAGCCTTTCAACGTTTTATTGTTCTTTTACTACCACAGGTTGCTTATGGACTGTGGATCTGAATCTCGAAGCTTTCCCAAAGCTTATTCCAGATCCGGTAAGATCATCATTGCCTATTTACACTTATTATGAGAAGAGGGAAGACTGCCGCATCTGCGCTGCTCTTTTTTTTGAAGCCATGCGAGCTGGTTATGATGTTACTTGATTGTGTTTGAGGCCAATTTACGTTTTCCCACACACACCCATCTGTTTGCTTGCTAGATCGTTTTTATGTATATTTGTCACCTTAAGGAATGTGGAAGGATCGGTTCTTTGATTTTCATGTGGAGTAATACAGCATGTTTTCGCTTGGGCTGATTTGTGATTGTATTTGTTTTTTGGTACTTTGGTTTGGTACTTTTTTGTTATTCCCTTTTGCCTGTTGTTACTCCACTCATGTAGTAGTTCGGTTTGAGGCGAATTCGCTTTTTCAATCCAAAAACACAGCAGTCACGTTCATTGCATTCGTCCAGTCGAGCTATTGCAAGCTATGGTTTGGTACGAGGCTCTAAGAAACTTGATCGATGGACTGATGGGCATTAATCGTCGCAAATCGCAACAACGGTGCCAGTTCTGGTGCATCCAATCTTTCAAAAACCCTCAAAAGTTATTCATATCGATAGGTACATAGTTTATGTTGCCTTTTTGGAACAAAAGTTATGTACCTACGACCAAGGCCTTGTAGCAGTTTCTAGCAATTCTGGCAGCTCCTAACTAGAAAACCGGGCAGGTTCGGGGAAACAACGGTAGCAAATCAAGCCACTTGACCTGTTTTGCTACCCCCTTGTGGAAAAATTGGGGGAGTGGGTCTGTCGAATTACTGTGGTATCCAAGCTTTTATGTCCAACTAATTGGCCAGCATGTCACCCTAACCTTGTACCACTACTGTGACACATCACGCCTCATATATGTGCTCAAGTATTACTTTGCTGTTGTTTTGTGAGATCTACTATTAATCCACATTTAGACAAGCAAGAGAGACAGTTCATCGGCATCTCTCTGGCGTGTAATTGGTGCGTAATCAGGAAGATCATTTGGAGGTTTGCAATTACTAGTTGGGCCGATTTCCATCGTATAGAAACCATTCGCCATTCGTCTCCTCAAAGTTGCAAACTATAGAGTTAGTAGTAGTTGATATCTGAACCCCTCCTCCTCCTGCGGCAATTTCACCTGGCACCATAACTACTTGTTGACACGTCTTTCCAAATTGGGATCTCTAGTTATACTGGTGTACAATT